ATGTTGGAGAAGAATTGAGTATCTTACATGTTCTTGGGACTATCTGAGTTATTTTCTGCTAGGGGCTTGCATTAGTCCATTTTCACATCACTGTAAAAAAACTACCTGAGACTGGGTAATTTATGAAGAAAAGAGATTTAATTGACCAACACAGTCCTGCAGGCTTAACAGGAAGCATGACTGGGAGGCGTCAGGAAACTTGCAATCATGGCAGAAGGTGAAGGGGAAGCAAGCACTTCTTTCCATCACGAAGCAGGAGAAAGAGAAAGAGAGAGAGAGAGAGAGAGAGAGAGAGAGAGAGAGAAGGGAAAAATGCCACACACTTTTAATCCATCAGATCTCATGAGAACTCACTATCATAAGAAAGGCAAGGGGAAATGACCCCCATGATCCAATCACCTCCCACCGGGTCCCTCCCCCAACACTGGGGATTATAATTCAACATGAGATTTGGGTGAGAACAAAGAGCCAGACCACATCAGGGCTGAAGTAATTCTCTTTCACACTGGACAGAAGGATCAAGGTATAGATATACAACTCCCAGAGCCTCTTTATAATGGAAGAGTACAGGTTTACACAGAGAGTGTCTTTTTCACAAAGCAAAAAGTAAACCATAATATGGTATCTTTTCATTTCTGCTTCACATCTTGAACAATGAAGCAAAAATTTCACTCCAAGTCTTTGATGTGTCGTTTTTAACAATTAAATTATAGTAAAGCCAACCTTCATGTTCTTCACAATGCTTTCAAACCAGCTACCAAACATCAGAGTCAATGGAATTAAATGGAATCAATAGGCCTAAAAGAATAAATATCTTCAAATGACCTTTGTGTATACCATTTACAGAGAATTATTCCGATAGAAAAGCTCTTCCCTTAAAAATACTTACTGTTTAGAGGAGCTATGAAAAGTTATTCTGAAAATAAGTACACAAATGGAAAAGCATTGCAGCTGCCCACTGTAAAAACATTTTAAAAGGCACCACCATTTTCTCAAAATCTGTAATCATCTTGGAAGTAGCTTATAGAGATCCTTTGTAATCCTGAAGATTTAAAAATAGCCTCGTTAGAAGCAGGGCTTGCATTCCTAGTGTGTTCCCTAAGCAATCCTTACAAGATCTTATGTATACATGCTCTGGGCACTCAGAAAAACACAGGGATGTCATCAGTTCATCAGGTGAGTATCTGACTAATTTTCTCTATTAAATAAGACGCATTTGCCAATATGTACAAATCTGGTCAATGTTATTACTCCCTGTATTTCCTTTGTGACTTTGTCTTTCCAATGAAGAATTCATTGGAAAGTATAGTCTTTGCCTTCCAATAAGTATAGTCTTTGCCTTCCAAAAGCAATATAGGCTTTTCAATTTTAAAAAATTTCTGAAGTTTATATTGTAATTTTGCATTATACATTAAGAAACTTAAACACTTTCCCACACTTTTAGCCAGCGATATTGCTTCCGAAAAACCTGCCTAAGAATATAATCTGAGAATGGGGAAAGCTTTATGCACAGATATTTATTTCAGCATTATTTATAAAGGTGTTTTTTCTTTCAACTGTGGGTTCATGGTCAAATGTTTGAGAAAGGCTGGCTTACAACAGATCTGAAACAAATATAACTAACCAGTGATGGAAAAATAGTTAGGTAATCTATGTATCAATTAATGCAACCATAAAAAACTATGTTTACAATGAATTTATAATGGCATGTTAAAAGGCTTTATGTACTTAAGAATGGGGTAGAAAATGGGGTAGAACTGTATGGTGCAATAATTGTATACAATTATACAATTTAAATATTTTAAATCTGCTAATAAAAAAAAGAACCAACGAAATTCTCCAAAAACTTTCATGGTTTTTGGAGAATGCATCCAACGAAATTCTCCAAAAACTTTCATGGTTTTTGTTCTATTTTTAGATATTTTCCAAATTGTATCCAATTTATATATATTGCATACATTGCCTTGATAAAGGAAAAAATACCACTTCATTGCAGAGAGCAGAGGCAGGGATAGAGAACAAGCCTGGGTTGGAATAGGGGAGGGGTGGCATAAGACTGCAGTATGTGTAAGTCCCCACTCAAGGGCCCAAGTTTGTTGATAAAGATGAGGACATTCAGTACTCCCTGCCAAGTGTTATTCTCAAGTGGAATTACTACTTGTCCTTTGAGCTCACTCTGAACTTTGCACTGGGAACTAGTAGGGATGTGACAAATAAAAAGGGGGCGGTTTCCCATTGCTTCAACTCTATTCCACATAATCCAGCCCTCCTCACGTCTGCCTCTTGTGCAAACTGGAATTTGGAAGTGGTTCCATGACATTTCTTTGTGGCTCATTGCTTAGAGTAGCTAGAAAATGCAGGCATATCAAAGCAAGTAATAACAAAGGCATTTCCATGTACAATTCTTGACATTTCATAAGCCCTTTTTTATACCAAGCCTCAGAAATGATCTTCTGAGACCGGCTTTACTGTTTGTATTTTGCAGTTAATGTAATAGGCTCATAGACAGAAAGAAATCTGCCTTAAGTGATAAAGGGGCAGAAGTATAACTTAGTTCTCCCAGCTCCCACTTAAATGAATCCTATTTGCTAACTAGTATGTCCCTATTAAAGTCAGATTTCTTCCCCTTACAAATAACTAAAATAAACTTCATTTCTGCGTGGGTGGCTCTCTTGGAGGGTTACCAAATATCCCCTCCAAAGAAGGCAAATGCTGTTGCTCTTACTGACTCAACTGTCCCCAAACCACAGGTTACTACAACCTGGAGCCTGGTCTTGAGCAAGTATACAGAGAGGAGCCAAACAATTCAAATGGGATTATCGTCAGGCCCTGCGAAAGAGCAGTGCTCCTCTGCTTGGGGAGGAAAGCTTTGCCAGGGGCTAAAGAAATCAGCCAGTGGCTAGAGAACAGCTTGCCCTTGCATCTAGGGTAAACAAAAAAAGGAAAGTATCATTTAGGTTCTTTGTAAGCCACAGAAGCCAAATGGGGCTAAATCAAACCAAAATTAATTGGCATGCTTTGAGCCTTCTACAGAAGGAAAAAGCAAGCTTGCCTCCAGAAAAAAAAGAAGCAGGGAAGTGCGGAGTTCTCCACCAGGGCCTCACGGGCAGTTCCTTTTGAGTACTGCTGATATGATTTGGCTGTGTCCCCACCCAAGTCTCATCTTGAATTCTAGTTCCCGTAATTCCCAAGTACTGTGGGGGAGCCTGGTGGGAGGTAATTTAATCACTGTTCTCATGGTAGTACGTCTCACAAGATCTGATGGTTCCATAAGGGGTTTCCCTTTTCGCTTGGCTGTCATTTTCTCTCTTTGCCTGCTGCCATGTAAGACATGCCTCTCACTTTCCATCATCATTGTGAGGCCACCCTAGCCATGTGGAACTGTGGGTCCATTAAACCTCTTTGCTTTATTATTACACAGTCTTGGGTGTGTCTTCATTAGCAGAGTGAGAACAGACTAACACACTGCCATCTGAATAACTCAGCTGCCACCATGCCGATTTTTGAGTCATTCCACTCAAGATTAAAATTCCAGAGGAGAAAAGTAAAAGCACTATCTTAGACCATGTGTTGACCCCCTTGGCCAGAAGAAAAGGGATATCCAACAGCCCACCACTGATCTCAGGTGATAGATAGGAGTCATTCTCCAAAGGGAGGGTGAACACATGTTCGAGTGTTGCCCTGGACAGTTCCAGTTTATAACTGTTTTTTTTTAGGAGTAGTTACTCCTATAAATAGCATCACTTTTCACCCACAAAACTGTCCAAGTTTGGATAATAAATTGTAGGATCAATCTACACAAAGGAAAGATGGGGCATTGTTACCAAGGTAGCAATGCTGAGCAGATACAAATAGCTACCATTGCAATGAGGCTATTAGAAGGGGCCGAAAGAGAATGTTTTGCTCCCAGTCTCTCAGGACCAAAAGATGAGAATCAGAGTCAAAAGCCTCTATCGGTCTCTAGGTTTTGACTCCAGTGCGAAAATAACATTCCTATATTCAAGCGTTGAATTACTATGACTTTGACCCAACAGTTCCAGTCCCTTGTCTTCCTATGTCCTTGCAGCTAAACCACTAAATGTTAAGGTGTTCTCTTTCACTGCTGTTTTTTTAGCTTAATTGGCCCTCCTGCTTTCCAAAATAGAATGCTAACATCCATTCACCCAGCTGGAGGGTCAGGGTGATACCAGATCCAATATTCCCCAAAGCCTGTGCAGGCTAGTTGCTGTATTCCTGACTACTGATTAATAATAAAGGAGTCGAATAGCACCTTTGGATTCTGATTTCCTCTGAGAGGCTGTTCTACAAGCATGGGGTCAACTTAAAGGAAGCAGGGTTTTGTTTAATATTCTCTCCTTTCATTAGTGCACTTAAATTACTTTCTTGTAAACTCTACTTGTTACCTAAATGTACTAGCAGTTTTGTTACCTAATTAACTTTCTTATCAGAATTCCAACCAAAAATAACAAGAAATGTAATAATGATAAGGTATCGTGCCCCCTCAAAACAGATTTCCTTTTCCACTTTATCTCTTGCTACTATTCTGGCTTGTTTAATTAAAGTATCAGAAATTATTAGACTCAAATTATTTCTTGATCTAGTGCTCAAATTCTCCTGAAAAACTGCTGCCTCTGCCTCAGTATTTAAACCTTTATCAGTGTGAGGCAGATGAGTTTCCACCTGTTTGCAACTGGATTCATGTAATTCAATACAATTTTGGAAGAAGATCCTAATTTTGCTGCTAAGTAATTAAGCAAACAAATCAGATTTGGCTACACTGAGCTATCATGAACGTTTAAATACTTGTGTCTCCTCTCCTGTGCTCTTGGATCATCAAAATGAACAACATTAATGTGTAAAAACACAAACCTTATGAAATTTTAGCATGGGGATGTGAAATTCAAAGCAACGTTCTTACTTATTTTTTCATTAGAGGGACGGGGCTCAAAATATCACCAAGTTCAAACCACTAACATAAGTTGTGTTCAAGAAGGGTAGTCATGTCTGTTACAGACTTTACCGTAACGGATGAGAAAGTACGCTTACATCACAGCATTGAGGAGGAGAAAACTGTAAGACATATTGGTGATTTCTGTTCCTCATACTCTGTGAAAAAAATTCAGGTTGGCATCTGCTTGCTTCTGGTGGAGCTGTGTGAGAGGTTCACATTCTTCGAAGTGGTCTGCAACATGATCCCCTTTTGCACCGTCAAGCTTGGCTACCACAACTGCCAGGCAGCCGTTTTAAACTTGTGTTTTATCGGAACGTCAATGCTTACCCCTGTGTTTGCCGGATGGCTCACTGATGTCTATTTAGGAAGAAACAAACTGGTGTATATTTGCTTGTTTCTACATTTTCTAGGTGAGTTTCCTCTGTGGACTGGATTGCTTGGTGACTTAACTGAGTAGATTTTTGTTCGAATTTTTAGTTTATGTTATTTCCACATTGCTCTTAGCATAAAATGTGATAAACAAGTAACAATGTGGTTTCAATATATTTCATTCTCCGTACTATTTGAAGAATGCTAGTGTGTGTGTGTGTGTGTGTGTGTGTGTGTGTGTGTGTGTGTTAGAGGATACTTTGATGCCTATATCATTGCACATGTATTTTACAATAATTACTCCTTCACCTATCTATCTTACTCCTTAGAATGCTATCCTTTCCCCCTTTTTTACCTCAAGCCCAAATTCATGACGAATTCCCTCAGAAATGTGAAATTCATTGGCTTCACAACTAAGATGAGATGCACTTAAAAAAAAAAAAAAAAGGTTTTTGAAGTTCATGTAAAATAATTGAGAAATGTTTTTATCCAAAAGCGGTCTTTTAATTAGTCATATAGTAATTAAGATTGCATATGATGGCATGACTTCTATATTATTAACTATGATTATATGCTTTAAAAATGAGTAAATTAGACACTACAGTGTGCTTCTTTACGTATATATTAATGTATATATGCAAAGGTTTGGGACGAATTGCGAGAAATACTGGGACAAGATCAACATAGTTTAATAGGGAAGAGAGAGCAAGTTGAAGAACAGACTAGAATTTTAGGATGAAAGTTCAATTATTCTTCTTAAACAAGAAGAAGTCTCTAAAGATACCATGAAAACAACCTTTGAGAAGTGCTATTCTGCAATACGGGATGGACAACCACAGTGAGGGATTAAACAGAGAAAGAGATCAGAAAAATCCCAGGATGATGGTTTAAGCAATAAAGTGCCGATTCAGGAAAGAACAAGTGAAAAGCTATAAAAACTTGGCAACTAAATAAAGGTACAATTGTGACGGGGGACAAAAATTAGCTCCTAGTTTCTGATCTGAGCAACTTGGGAATATAGCATGCTTTTCACCAATAATGAGAGGCACAGCTGAAATGAGTGTCGGTAGGGGAATGGTTGAGGATGAGATGGATAGATATCAGGTACCTGACATATTACACAATCTCAGGCAGGTGGTAAATTACCATTCAGAGAATCCGTTGGAGTGTAAGTCAAACGTGTAAACTTTGCAGCTGAAGTTCCATGAAATAAAAACTAAGTCACTGCATGGCAAGTAATCAGTCAACATTCCACAAATATTTCTTACTGATACTCTGTACAAGGCATTATTCCGGGTCTGGAAATGCAGTAGAGAAGAAAGTGGTCTGGTTTTGCTGAAGCTGACTTTCTGGTGCAGGGAGAGAGAAAATAAATGAGGAAATAGATATAAGGTGATGTGGCAATGAGTTAGGATGAAAAGTAAAGCTGGGTAGGGGACAGGATGGAATGGACAGTGATGGGGCTGCTACTTGGTGCTGAGAAAAAGCTTTCTGATAAGAAGACATTTAAGCGAACCCCAGACTCATTTACTCTGCTTACTTTGGTAACAGCCCACACCAGTAACATTTGGTGACTTCTTGTTTAACGTGGTAGTTTCTTTCTGTCAGTCTAAATTCTGAGGTCAGTCATCAGACAGGACGGAAATCCCAACTTTAGAATGGGGCAAACAAAAGATTTACGTCAACTCTACATCCATTCATTTTTTCACTAAAAGTTATTTCCTTGTTGCCCTCCACTTACAGCTGCCATCAAATTCCAACCAGTCACTAAATATCAGAGGTTGCAGGTTTTAAAAAGTCTCTTCTGCCTGAATGGCTACAACCCTAGCTGAAAAAATGCAGCTTTCTCATTTTTGACCATGCCAGTGGCCTACTTACTCAGCTGCCGGTTGTCAGTCTCCAGTTCACACTCCATTCTACCAACAACACCGACTTCCTGAACAAATAAATCTCTATATTGGCTCTAGTATCTAAAAAAAAAAAATCCAAATTTATTAATTTAGCATGCAAGAACCTCGCCAACCTATTCCAAGTTCACCTCTCTAGACTTCTCGCTCCATATGCAACCCCAACCTTACTGAACTTCTCCTGGCCTCCTTCCCTAGTTTTCTAATCTCACACATGCTCTTCTCTCTCCCTGAAATTACCACCTTCCCTTAACCTTCCATCCCTTATCCATGACCAGAAAACTCCTGCTGTTCTTTCAAGAACCAAATAGTGTTTGTTACCAGCTTCTCTGTGTTCAACCACACCCATATAAAACCTATATGATTGCATCCATCACTTTATAATATAATTGTCCACCCACATGGCTGACTTCTCTAATGGACTCATTAGTTCCTGAAGAGAAGAGCCAGTGGACCCCCACCACATAGCATCGGATATGACACGTCACGGTGCTTCTATAGCGCTACTAAATGCACATGTACTGATGATGCAATACACAATTGCACACATCACAGAGGAGACTTTTCATCATATATGTCATAGATTCGTCTTTTTATTGCATCATTTTACAACAGATAGGAATAAAGTTTTGATTTAACACAATCAGCCTATTATGACATTTTCTCAAAAGATGGAACAAAGTGCTTTTCTAAGTTACACAAATACACCATTCAAACTAAAAGTGCCTTGTCCCTAAGTAAATGGTTGCTGCATGAAATAGTTTCCCTGCCCATCCTCTTTGGACATCACTTAATCTAGCCAGCCCTCATGTTACACCTACAGAAAAGAAGACAGAGTGGTAGAAAGAGAGCAGTTAGTTCCATGTCTGGCTAACCTTGAAAGGAAACATTTCAAACTCAGTAATTTAAAGGGCCCACCTCATGGTAAATGAATCTGCTGCCGAATAGCAATTAAGTGCACATATTCTTTACATTGTGAAAGCCTCTGCAGGTGAGATGAAAGCATTAGACCACATTTTTATCTAAAGAAATTTATAATCTAATTGAGAAAACAAACCACACGAAGGTATAAAAAGGTATAAAAATTCATACCAAATAATCTTAATGCCAAATCAATAAAATGAAGATCAAAATGAACACGGAGGAACCATTTTTCACTAATCAGATCATCAAAACAAAACAAAAAAATGAATGATGGTAACCAGTATGAAGGAAGGTCTTCTCATACAATGATGGTAGGAGATTAACTTGTTGCATTTTTTTTTCTTTTTTTTGAGACAGAGTATCACTCTGTCACCCAGGCTGCAGTGCTGTGGCGTGATCTTGGCTCACTCTAACTTCTGCCTCCCGGGTTCAAGTGATTCTCCTGCCTCAGCCTCCCAAGTAGCTGGGATTACAGGCGCCTGCCACCACGCCCTGCTAATTTTTGTTGTATTTTTAGTAGAGACAGGGTTTCACCAGGTTGACTATGATGGTCTCGATCTTTTGACCTCACGATCTGCCTACCTCAGCCTCCCAAAGTGTTGGGACTGCAGGCGTGAGCCTCTGTGCCCGGCCATTTGTTGCACTGTTAAAGAACATTTGCCGGTGGTATTAAGAAGCCATAAAAATAGGAATGCCTTTGACTGACAACTTAGGCTAATAAAGAGGAGCACAAAAATTATGTGTCAGGGTATTTTATGGTATTCATTTAAAATGACTGGAAAGGTCTTTTAAAACACTTTATGATTAGAATATCACAACATCACTAGAAATCATGTTGGAAAACTATAAAGATACTTTAAAAATTGTTCATGTTATTTGGTTACATTAAAAAATTAACAGTGTAATCTCAATTTAAGTAAAATCTATTTATAAAAGTATAACTCTGAGTCATGACAATATGGGCCTTTTGTATTATTCTGAGTACTTTCCTCTATTTTTCAAATTTCCTGAAGTAAGAACATATTACTTTTGTAATCCGATGGGCGGAAATTCTATTTCCGGAAAAAAAAAAATTATTTGACTGCTTGATGGTAGGAGGTCCAAGAATAGGAAGAATCACAACTGGGTTACTTTGCAACACTGGGCAAATCACTTAACCTCACTGATCCTGTTTCTTAATAAAAGAAAAAAAAGAATAAGAACATCTATCCAAAATCTGTCCACTCACATCACAAAGTTTGTCCAAGATGAAACAATGTAGTACATGAACGTGCTTTACAAAATACAATGAGCTTAGCAAAAGCATGGAATTGTATGGTAAATTTTATTTGACAGGGAGAGTCATCAAATGTGACCCTGCAAGGTGGAAGAGAGAGGATACTCAACTGTCTTTTGTTATTTTATGTCCTTTCTCCTTCCAGCTCACACTCCTCTGTCCCCAGCCTTCTCACCTGTGTGTGTGGCAAAGACGGCTTCATCCGGCTTTGTGAGAAATAAAAGAAATATGAAAGGCATTACAGGGAGAAAGAGAAGTAGAAAAGGGGCGGGGGAGGGAAGACTGTGTTCTCCTGTAACTATAATAATGTTCTTCTTAAAAGTTTTTATGTAACAGGCTTCTGAGATTTCTGAGATCATGGTGTTTTCTGTCACTCAATTGATTAAGAATAAACAACCTCTGTTAACAGTGGTTTTCTCTGGGGGTGAAAATACTAACAGCTTCATTTTTTATACAATGCATTTCTAATTTTGCCAAAATAAGCATGATTTGCTTATGCTCTCTAAGATAAAAAAGTTCATGCTTGAGGAGGAAAAAACACTAAAACTCTGGATTAGTTAAGACACATACGGAAGGATATGTTTACAATTAGAAAACATCAGGCTAGCCCCACAGCTGCAATGGTAACCATTAATGTTTGGATAAGACAATCACCACATGACGCTACTGTCAGAGGAAAAGCCCTGTTTATAATGTGATTTGGTGATCCAATTGTTCTATGCTATATTTATTTCTTTTTTCTCTACCTACAGGCACTGCTTTATTATCTGTGGTGGCTTTTCCCTTCGAAGATTTCTATCTGGGCACTTACCACGTGGTTAACAACATCCCAAAAACGCAGCGGCACAGGCTGTTTTACGTGGCACTGTTGACCATCTGCCTTGGCATGGGAGGCATAAGAGCCATCGTCTGTCCACTGGGTGCTTTTGGCCTTCAGGAGTATGGATCACAAAAAGGAATGTCTTTTTTTAATTGGTAAGTAGCACTGATTAGGGGAGAAAAGAGGCTTATGACCGTTCTCACTGTTTACTTTCCGATTCCATTGGGGTAGCAGTTGTTCAGTCTTTGTGATGAATTGCGCTAAGTGATGATGTGATGAATCTGTGACGATTCAGTCAGTAATCGCAGGAGATTCTAAATCTCATGGAGACCAGTACAGCTTACCAGCATCTTCCCAACACATGCTGATACATTTATCCTCCAAGTAAAAAGATTTGAAGTGCTTTGTCCCGCAGAATAGAACGTAGCTTTGGAACCAAACATACCTGGGTGAAAGTCTGGACTCTGCATAACACAAGCTGGCTGGTCTTGACCTAGTCATTTATTCTCTACTACAGTTTATTCATTTCTGAAAGGCAATAATACCTTTTCTCCAGTTTTATTAGAGGTAACACCATGTGTATTGCTGGCAAAGAACTTAGTGCATAGTAAGTGATCAAAACATGGTAGCTGTTAGTATGTCTATATTGTAATAGACGAATTTGGCAGAGATTATAAATTTCTAGGCCAATGAAGAGAGAAGATGCAGAGATGAAACATGGATTTTACAATTGGTTAAAACATCACCCAGTGTCTCTGTTTCTCACCCAGTTCACTCCCAATACCTAAGAGAATATATATTCCATGAAATCAAACAGCCTTCCTGTGACTCTTTCTGTCCCAATGAGTTCTTACGGAGTTCATTTGTTTTTGTGTTTTTTTAAGGAAATAATTTATATTACTAAATACAAATTCAAGGAAAAAATTAATATTTGGATCTTAAGGGGGAGAAGTTAAGCATTTAGTATAAAAATTCTTTGTTGTTGTTGGCTGTCAAACAGATGTGAGCTACACTGTCTATTTTTAGAGTAAATCGTGTCTACATGTATACGTATAGGTATACGTAGCTATCGCAAGCAGTTCCTCTTTTCTCTCTCTTTCTTTTTCTTTTTCTTGCTCCCCTTTTTTCTTTCTCTGATTATATTAGTATTACAAAGCACTCAGCCCTATTTTGGATTAAGTCCTAATGTCAGAGAACACTGCAGTTTTACTAAAGGTAGAAGGAACTCTTTACTTCCTTGCAGCAAATTCTGCCTCCTTGACCTGCCCAAAGGAGAAAGAAAAATCCTTCTTTTTTATTCTATTCGGAGGTTTTAATCCTTAATTAGCAACATCATTTTGATTAAATAAGACTCTGGAGGATTAAGACTGGAGAGCAATCAGTTGTTCTGAAAGATAGCTCTGGAGAATTTATTGTACTGTGGTCTTAGTCATTCAGAGTTGTGTTTAATCAAAGTGACATTTCTCAGTGTTGATTACAAAGGAGACATTATATGAATGAAATATTTCCTTTGGGAAACAGAGGGGACTCCCACTGGGTTTGTGCTTTAGGGCTTCAGGAAGGGGGATGGGGAACAGGGTGAAAATTAATTTCTGCAGCTGTAAGGAACTGGGCCAAATTTAGGATGAACACATTTGGATTTTTAAAAATTATTTTCTGATTTCACTATGTATCTCAGTGTTTTAAAAATTTAAAGTTAAAGCATCTAGAAATGTGTATAAAGAATCGGGCTGTTATTCTTTAATGTGATAAAAGAACTGGATGGTTAGCTCCTTGAAAGCTGAATCTGGTTGTTTTACCTTTTTTGTATTTTTCCAGTTTAAATATGAAAATAAAGGCCAACTTTTAATAATGTTTACTTACTTTACTGCAGTTGATAGGAATGACTGCTGATTCCATTCCTGTACATAGTACAGAGGTCGGTGGCAAGTCGGATAGAGACCTTACTGGTCAACCAGACAGCTGGTAGAATCCTGACTCTCTCACTTAGGAGTTTTGTGGTCTTTGGCAAGTTCCTTAATTTCTTCATCCACGAAGTGTAAATATCTTGGAGAGCTATTGTATCACTTATACATAAAGTATCCTAGCATATAATAGGTATTGAAATTATGATAGTGTTGTTATGATTATTGCTAAATCATGTATAAGCCATCAGCTGAAACCATTGTCTAAGTGCTGGGAAAGAGGGAACCCACTTAAGAGGAGGTCACCTCTAAAAGCAGCAGTTAATTAATTTGTAATCTGTGTCTTCCAGTCAAAAATGCCTCTAGAAATTACAAGCCTGGTAAATATAATTAATTTCAGTTTTGTCTTTAAAAAACAACATACCACTTGAATCTGTAACCACTTGAAGGCTGCATTCAGTCCTGTTTGCAGCACAGATGTCAGATGTTCATAGTTGTGGGACCTTTAATGAGATGTGTCATTGCTTCTGTACCACCTAAAGCTTCCCAATGATCATGTTAAGTAGCATAGACTGGAAGTCTCAGGCACTGAAAGCACCACTTCCGAGTAAGGCTGCCAAACGTAGGTGAGAAAACCACTCCCAGCCAACATTACCATCTGGTACTGGATCTTCCTCAGCTAACGCACCTCACTAAAAAAAATAAAGCTAAACTCCCTGAAATCAAGAGGCATCATAATCTGCCAACATCCTTGTGTCATTATCCAGATCAGAACCTGGCTCATTCCACATATTCTGAAAGCTAAGATGGACAATTAAGAAGCGCCATACTGGAGATCACCTAGGTAAATACACCTGTGCAGATTCTTTTTTTTTTTTATTTTATTTTATTTTGTTTTATTTTACTTTATTTTATTTTATAACTTTGAGGATACATGTGCAGGATGTGCAGGTTCTTTGCATAGGTAAATGTGTGCCATGGTGATTTGCTGCACCCATCAACCCACCACCTAGGTATTAAGCTGAGCATGCATTACCTATTTTTTCTGATGTTCTTCCCCCCCCCCACCACCTTCCACCAACAGGCCCCAGTATGCATTCTTTCCCTCCCTGTGTCCATGTTTTCTCATTGTTCAGCTCCCACTTATAAGTAAGAACATGTGGTGTTTGGTTTTCTGTTCCTGTGTTAGTTTGTTGAGGCTGGAAGCAAAAAGAAGGAGGATAATGAAGTCTGTTCCTGGCCACGATTATAAATTCTACCACAATTAACCTCAAATCTTGTTTCTGCATTTCTCTACTTACTTCACCTGATAATTTGCATCCTATCTGCATATCACAATCTGTTGCTAAGGGGTTACTAGGGTGCATTATACATGATTAAAAGCCCAAATAGAATATTGGTAAAGTTCTGGAAAAAGTCTGGAGATTGACTTACTTCACCCCAGAAATGTTGAGTATCTGGTACTCAAATTGACTCTACGTTATTTGTCTCAAACTGAAACATTCTGATTTTAATACTCAAATTAAATATCTTTTATCTTAGGGAAGCACTAGAGGTAAAAATGTATTATCCCACAGCATTTTTCCAGAATCTATTTTAATATTCACAAGAACATTGAGAAAAGTGATTGTCAAGCCTAGGTGCACATTAAAGCCACCTGAAGATTCTTTTTTAAAAAGTGCAAATTCCTGGGTCCTGCCGCCAAAGATGATCATTACTTGGTTAGAGGTAGGACCCACAGACCAGGATTTTTTTTTAAAGCTGTGCAAGTAGTTAGGGTTGAGAGCCCGTGTTCTAATGCAGTGTTGCTGACTTTAATTATCACTTGAGAGCCTTGTTGAAAATGTTTCCCAGGTCCCATCTTGAACCTACCTCCTGGATCACAATTTCCTGGGAGGACGGGTGAGAATGCATATTTCAAACAAGTACTGTGTTAGTCTATTCAGGCTGCAGTAACAAATCAGCAGAAATTGGCCGGCTTACAAACAATAGAAATTTATTTTTCACAGTTCTAGAGGCCAGAATTCTGAGGTCAGGGTTCTGGTGAGGGTTCCCTTCCCGGATGTACGACTGCTGGCTTTTCCCTATGTCTTTGTATAGTGGAAGGGGCAAAGGAGCTCTTGGAGGTCTCCTTTACAAGGGAACTAATCCCATTCAGAAGGGCTCCAACCTTATGATCAAAAGCCCCATCTCCCAAATACACTACTTCCTAATACCATTGTTATAGGATGTGGAACACCTAATACCAAGTTAAGATTTCAACATCTGGGAGGTGGGAAGAGATAGCATGGGGAGAAATGACAGATACAGGTGAGGGGACGGAAGGCAGCAAAGCACACTGCCATGTGTGTACCTATGCAACAATCTTGCATGTTCATCACATGTACCCCAAAACCTAAAATGCAATAAAAAAAAAAAAAACGATTTCAACATCTGAAATTTGAGGGAACACAAATATTCCTACTATATCAAGTACTTCAGGTGATTCAGAAGATCGAAGTTTGGAAGCAATTTCAGAGCCACAAGGAAAGTCCAGTGCTACTTTTGAAAAGACATGAAACTAACCATTGATTGAACCCACTACTGTGTTTCAGACTGCTTTGGAACTTTTTGACAATTTTATAGCAATTATAATCCCATTTAGAAATCTACCTGATTGAGAAATTCAACATAATTCTGAAAAGAGAGAGAAAATATATAATTCTACATATATTCTTCAATCGTAAAATCAGTTTATAAGGTACATTTCAGCCAAAAAAACCAAAGCAGTTCATGAAATAATCTTAGTAATACTCAACTGTCCTGAGTTGCATGCTGAAGAGTAGTAGCTTGTAACCGGCTTTGAAAAAAATCACCAGACCTTCCCAAATTTTATTTGCAGTGGCTCTAGCCAATTTAACAAATGCTACCCTCTCACCCTGATAATAAAAGCACCTCCTTCTTTACCTTTCCCAAAAGTGTAACTTTTCAGGAAGTACACTCAGAACTTCTTTCCAAACATATGTAACTGTGGAAACCAAAGACCATTGAAGGAAAAAAAAAAAAAAAAAAAAAAAGAGAGAGTCCTTACATTTCTTAAATTTTATGTTGCCTCCTACATTTTCTTAGGCCCTGCACATTCTTTTTTAAGCTTGAAAGATACATGAGTCAGGACAACTGTTAAAATTAGGATGTTTGCCAGGCACAGCAGCTCACCCCTGAATCCCTAGGCTCTGGGAGGCGTAGGCAGGAAGATCATTAAAGTCCAGGGG